TTTTCGTGTCAATAAATCCACTCGCCCGGTCTTGAAAGGGGCATTGCCTTCCATCTGTGTGCCATTGTGTTCCTCTTTTTTATAAAGGGACCCATTTTCGAATTCAGTCATATGCTCCTCTGTGCTTGCTTTGGAACAGTTTTACTCCTCATGTGCTTTTAGATTGGGTTGTCTTTTATGTTTTCGTATTATTATGAATCTCACGTCATTTTTTCTATTATTTTGCCATGATCATAGTATTTTTAAAATATATCTTTTTTTTTCTTTGTTAGTATTTTTGATATTAATGTGTTTGAGTCTGGCAGCTTAAGACGTTATAGATTGATCTTGTTTTGACTTATTTTCTACAGATATATATTTCGGAAGCTTTCTAAGTCTATACACAGTACACAACTCATTTGCAACGGGAAAGATAAAAACCTACAGCTGCATACAGATTTTTTTTTTTAAACTTATGTTTACCTATAAACATTTTGTTTTCACTTAATTAAGAAACGAACAAACAAAAAACAGTTATTGTTGTCTACAATATAAACATTTTAATGTCATGAGCTTTACTTAGGGATTTTTTTTAAAGTGCCTTTTTAATTAAAAAAAATAAATAAAAAATCTCATTAACCCAACCTTTTGGCCACAGCTCTTCTAATTCATCAGCTCTTGATTCATATAAAGTCAGAGATAAAAGTTTTTGTCAAAATAATACAATCAGAGGTTATCATCAAAGACAACCGAGGACGTAGTTTCCTTCACATTCAATAGTGTGTGGTTGTTCAGGGTTTTTTTTCTATGTGATTTTGTGTTTACTTTTTTGTTTTTTGACAATATGTTTTTGCTGAGCAGTTATACTTTTTTACCAGACACCTTACATTACAAAAAATTATGCCTTTTAAATGCAAGAGGGTGCAGCAATGTGTTCACCGAGCAGTCTGAAAAAATACTTCGGTTTTACGGTGGCAGTTTGATAGTATTATATTGGATGTATTTTTACTGTTATGTCCAAACAAATTACATTCTAAGTCTATTTCATTGACATTTTTGTAAATTATTAATCACAGTCAAAATGTTTAAAGGGTTGCTGGACTTCAGAGTTAAATATTGTCAAAAATGAATCGCAGCCTACAGAACGGTTTCTGAAAAACGGTCCTGTGTTACTGATGTTTAAGTGTTCAATTATATTTTCTTCTGCTCAGGCTCTTAAGTGAAATTCTTGCAACAGTATCTTTAGCCCAAATTGACCTTTCATTGCAGTATATTAACTTCCAATTTAAAACAGCTTGTGATACTTGTGACAGCACACACTAGTTTTAATCACATGCTTTAACAATCAGTCATGGTATTGTAGGTTCAACCTTGGTGACTGAACTGCAGCAGTACATTTCCATTTTTTTGGCACCCAACTTTACTCCGACAGCAAGAACGCTTTTTCACATGCTTTAATTTTGCAAAATACTTCATTAATACTGTTTCCTGTTGCAAACAAAATAAGGTATATGTGAAGAAAGTTCACATTTCTCTTTGTTGTGCTTGCTCACTTCTCACCAATCAGGTGTGAATTTGCAGAAGGTGCAGATCCCAAGAATATATTCTTTTCTTTTCAGTGATGGCTGATAAAGGATTTTGTGACAGAAGTAGTAATGCAGCTTGTGCAGTTTTAAAAAAAAGAAAAGAAAAATCAACAGGGATTTAGCATGTATGTGGCTCCTTTTAACATCAGACAACGAACAGTTTATGTGCTTTGGCAAAGCTGTTTGGAAACAGAGACACATTTCAAACAATTGAACTTTGAAATTACTGTTCTCCATCCCAGCTTAGTCAACTGTATTATATATTTTCTCATCAGTCATTGTAAGATAATGCCAAAAATATCCCCCCCTAAAAGGTTGTATCTGTTAAATATGCCAAAAAAAAAAAAGAAAAAGAAACTGCCTTGTTATACCTCACCGGATACTCATGGTGTCAGTGTGTACCAGTAAACGCGAAGCTACAATCATTCTCCACCCTTGTGCGCCAGCGAATTCAGTGCCTGATTCTGCTGATGTTGTGCAGTTGACAAAAACCGCTTCGTGTATGTCTTCAGTCTTGCAGTTTTGTAGTGGATCGTTGATATATTTCACCGTCTTGGCGATATTCTTAACGTCTGCGTCTTCTTTTTTGCCGTAACTATGGGATACTGTACATTTGCGCTGCACTGCGGCCTTGCTTTTGTTTTTCATGTCCTCCTCCCCGTCAATGGAGACGTGAGCTATTCTATCCCGGAGGAGATGAAACGTGGATCTGTAATTGGAAATATCGCAAAGGATCTGGGACTTGATTTGGGGAGACTGTCTGCTCGCAAGGCTCGTATCGATACAGAGGACAACAGTGTGAAGTATTGCAGCGTGAATCTGAACACCGGAGAGCTGATTGTTCAAGAGAGGATAGACCGAGAAGGGCTTTGTGGTAAAAAGGCATCGTGTGTTGTTAAACAGGAGCTGGTATTGGAGAATCCTTTAGAACTGCATCGTGTTAACATCCGCGTTCAAGATATCAACGATAATTCACCACAGTTTAAAGAGGAATCACTGAAAATCGAAATACGGGAATCGGCAGATAAAGGTGCGAGTTTTCTCCTTGATGAAGCGCACGATGGCGACATCGGAGAAAATGCCGTGCAGAGTTACTCACTTCAGCAAAATGATAATTTCAAACTAAACGTAAAATCAAAGGGCAGTGGACGGAAATATGGTGAATTAGTTTTGGACAAAGAGTTAGACAGAGAGGATACGAGAGAGATTGAGCTTTTGCTTATCGCATTCGATGGCGGCTCTCCTCAGAGATCAGGTACTGTAGTCATACACGTCACTGTCCTGGATGCTAATGATAATGTACCAGTGTTTACTGAAACTGTGTATAAAGCAAGTCTGCCTGAAAACTCTCCTCTGGATATTGTTGTTCTGACAGTGAGTGCAAGTGATGCAGATGAAGGAGTGAATGGTGAAGTTACTTTTGGATTTGACCATGTTTCAGATGAAAATCACATTTTTTCTCTGAGCCCCAAAACTGGAGAAGTTAAAGTGGCTGGAGCTATTGATTATGAAAAGGAATCATCGTATGAAATGCAGATTAGCGCTAAAGACGGTTTGGGGTTGGCCTCATACGCAACCTTAATCATTGAAATTGTGGATGTAAATGACAACGCTCCAGTGATATATCTGAAATCTCTGACCAACCCCATACCTGAGAACGTGTCACCTGGTACAGAGGTGGGCATCATTAACGTGCAGGACAGAGACTCTGAGAATAACCGACAGGTCCGCTGCTC